TTTTTTTATCAAGTGGGCGGGAAAAACGGGCGCGGGTTATGACGCGGGAGGGAGGAAAAAAAAAAAAAAAAAAAAAAAAGAAGAAGTAAATTCATTTAATAAAGAAACTTAAAGAATTTGAGGAACCATTAGAGAAACCAAAAACATGGGAGGTGACAAAAGAACCCTAAAGGGAATGGCAGAGAAAAAGAGGCTTAAATACCAGGGAGCTTGATTACTGACGAGAAACAGGTGGCTAATTGGAAACAGGGTGCAGCTGTGAGAGAAGAGGTAAACAAGTATTTAAAGAGAAATTGAACAACAAACATGACAGGAGCTGAAGAGGACGTAAACAAATAATAAAGGCGAGAAGGCCAACACTAATGTAAGGAATCTCATTTCAAATGCCCAAAAAACAAGAGCTCAAAAATAAATGAAGAAGCTAAATGCAAAGGAGTGAACATTGAAAAGTGAGACCTTTACAGAAATACTAATAAACTGAAAATGGCAATGTGTGTCTGCGTTTCCATTACAAATGTGCGATAAACTTTGTAGATTTTATACTAAAGTGGAAAAAACATTTTGTAATTGTAGCATTTCCATGAAATAAGAAACGCAATTAAAGTCACACATAATTAAGTTTGTTCAGTGCTCTAAGTCATTAAAAACATGCTCCTCCGTCACTCTACCACCATTTCCTGTCTTCTTTGTCTTTGCTCTCTGTGTTGAAAATAGTTTTTCAAAATTGGCACATTTCCTTTCAGCAAATTTATTTTCGTAAATCCAATTTTTGTAATTATATGGTCAATGGAAACGCAGGTACTGCTGAGCAACAATCAATACAAGAACTAAGTGGAATACAGCAAAATGTAAGAAAGTAAATAACCAATCAAATGATTAAACACAAACATTAAAAAAAAAAAAAAAAAAAAATCATCCATTGGCAGATTAAGACGTGACGAAAATTGCACGGCTAATATTTTCTATTAATTCTTGCTACAGAACCAGTCAAAATGTTTTCATATCCAACATGGACGCTTTGGACCAAACTATTCTTGCCTCCTTTTTCTAGGTTCCCACATCAGCAGCGTTTCACCAAACTTTTGAGCTGCGCTTTCTTTTCATCTGGAATCTATAATCTGAAGACAACTAAGCATTCAGGAGACGGCCTCTAACCAATCTGATTAGTTTGAGGGAATAACTGCTAAAACGGATGGCGCGTGTCCTTGGCTGCACAAACCATGGAGCTGAAAGGCTGTTTTCAAAGCATCATAAGCAGATAAATATTGATCTGTTCACAAAAAGTGCCGCCAAAACCGAACGCAGACAGCGTCGTCCTTGATCGATCGGCTCAGTATTACAGCCTTTAAAACGACGGTTGTCTTTGTGTGTCACTTTGCCTTTTTTGTTTTTGTCTCACCCCACACTGACTTTGTCCTTACAGGAATGCGATGGCTGCCGGGACATTTGTCAAACTGAACGTAAAATCTTTGTTTACACTCTGATGCAGAAGCTCTTCTGTTTCCTGAGAAAGACGCAGAGTGGCAGTGTAAGTGTCTATTAACTTTTGCGTCATCATTTGGCTGAAGAGGACAAAAAATGGCTTCCAAACCGTTTTATTTTTTCTATAAGGAAGACGAGAGAGAACATTAGAGCAAAGGCTAATTCTGCAGTGCTTGATCTGTAAATTAATCAGTAAGTTTAAAGGCTTCTGACAGAGGTAGACATAGAGTAATAAAGTTCACAATTACCATATTTTCTTAGAATTTAATTTATACTTCGTAATCAATTTTTCTTTTTCATGGACAATGCAGTTTTTTCTTTTGTAAAAAACGAACCAGACACTTCAGCTAGAAGCTGGAGGCATTGCTATTCCGTTCTGCAATCTTCATATCTCTTGCAGTTAAATGCTTTTATCCAACCAAATAGAGACTGGAGGCATTAGGGGAGAATACATAATGAAAATCGGCCCAGAATTCCTTAATAGCTGGGGAACGAATGCCCCTGCTGGGCTTTCTAATGAGTTTAAGCTGAGTACTCAGCCATTTGCTTCCTGTTTCCACATATTCATTTCATGCAAATGGTTACTTGTTAGAAAAAGCCCCTGTGAAGAGGAGAACAAAAACACGTCGGACAATTCCAACACATCGTCGTCTTCTGCAGGAACTATAGCATCCATCTGTCATGATCCGTGTTTCTGTGTGTTTATTTTTGAATTTTTTTCTCTGTAGTTCTGTTCCCTGTGAGTCTGTCTCTGCGTCTTCCCCATTGATTGTTTCCCAGGTGTGTCTCATTCCCTTGATTACCCCATGTGTTTTTAAACCCACCTGTTGTCTTTGTCTCTCGTAGGATCCTTGTCGTATATCATGTTTTGCCTGTTTCCCTGAGTGAGATGTTCCTCGTGCTGTTCCCTGTTGCTCTGTCGTTTGGAAGTCATCATTAAATTCATTCATCTTCATCTTTCCTGGGTCCCTGCGTCCTCTCCTCACCTCAAACCACCATACAATTCATGACACCATCCATGTTTCTACTTTGGTCCTGTCACAACAACTCAGCTGTAGTTTGTCTTACTGAGATTTTATATAATACTAAAAAAAAAACAGTAACACTTTATTTGACAGGGTGTGCATAAGACTGACAGGACACTGTCATAATCGTGACATAACACCTGTCATGAAGCTGGAGTCTTCATAAATGTTATGAAGAGTAAATAATGACACTTTTAACACAAAATTCATTAAAACTTGTATTAGAGGTCCATTAAAATTGTCAACTTTGCATTAAAAGTACCATTATTTACGGAATGACACTTCAGGACAACAGTGGTAAACATTCATGAAGACTCCTTCATCTTCGTGACAGGTGTTATGTCACATTTATGACAAGGACATGTCAGTCTTATGCACACCCCGTCCAATAAAATGTTACCAAGGAGGAAAAACTCACAAGGGTACATAACTTGTGAATTGTGAAGCACAAAAATACATTTTGTTCTGTCCCCTACATTTTTTTTTGTCAAAAAAGGGACTTCTGATGGCTTTCCTTCACCTGTACCTTTCTTCTTTTCACAACAGTCATTATCTGTGGAGGTCACTGCTAATAATTGACATTACCTGCCGTCTGAGCTGCGGATGCCAATAAATTACTCGAAAATTGCTGTTTACAATCTGAGAAAATGTTAGATAACAATAATCTGGTTCCATATTCTACCCAACGGAAGTTTAATTAGCATCTAATTTACACCCCTTAATGGGATAAGCAGCCCCCTTTCAACCAGTTTGTATTTCTTAACCTTCTCATAAAGCCTCTGAGCCACAGAAAGGCCTTGGCTTTGGAGGGCGAGATCAATAACCCACCAAAGCCAATGGATTTCTCTAAACTTTTCAGTGGTTTACGGGTTTAGCTGGATAAGGAGTTGTAAACTAATAGCTCCAAGCTGCTAAATGATAAACGGAAAGGCAGAGATAAAGACTTTTAAGCTCCAGAGTGCAGATTCAGCGGTGGTTGGCAGGCGTCCACTCAGCACACGGAGGTGTTATCGCCACCACTCAAGGGTGGCTGAAATGCACACCATCAGCAGCAATCTGCAGGAAATTATATGCAACCTCAGATGCTTGCTGTAACAGATTGGGCGAAGCATGTTTTACCTCCGAGGAGGATAGTCTAAAATATCACACAAGAGCCCGCGGCAACAGCTAATGGCTTCAAAATGATTGGAAATGGTGTTTTCATAGTGCAGCAGGCCTGTTTAGTTCACTTTAATTGAACTCCAGTTCATTTATCTAGATAGTCCGGTTAGTTTGTGGAGGTGTGAATGCGCAGTCGAACTCTGATGCGGACCAAAAAAAAAAAAAAAAAACCTCTCATCCGATCTGCTGAAAACCCCACAACTCTGTTCAGTTGAAGTGAACTCTGGCACGGCTCGAATGATGCAAGCAGACCAGAGACCAAAAGCAGGAAGTGGACTAAAGCGCAGGGTTTTCTGGGTAAATACAACCGAAACAAATGTGCTTGTTTTGCTGAAGAAATGATTTGTGGTTTTATTATTATTATTATTTTTTTTACCAAAGACAAAAGAGAAACAGTACAGCCGCTAGAATCTAATGCCACTCCATTTCTGCTTACATTTATTTTGCAAAGAAGGAAGTGGAAATTTGTCTCTTCTTCAAATGTTTTTGTGTTGTTTTCTACATTGGTTCTCGGTGCAGCACAGGCGAGGAGTTTTTTTGTTTAGTTTAGGTTGTTTGAAAGCAAACCACACCAACTGAACATGTAACAAATGTTGCAACTTTGGTCCCCAATCGAACTTAGTCTACAGAGTGAAAACGTCCTAATTATCAGAAAATAAAGCACATTCTCATGGGCAATCAAGTCCTCTTGTATGTTTTTAATATTGTGCCCAAGTGTGTATCTCTATTATCTGTGTGTACTGAGACTAATTTGGAAGATGTCTCTTTTGCAATATCACTGTCTTGTTTCAGTGTTTTTCCTATTCAAGGATCAGCTGATCATCTGGCATAAAGGGTTTTGCTCACCGGAGCTTTGGGCTCTCCAGTGAACCACAGTCAGAGGCATCATCCACAAACAGAGAAAACCTGGTGAACTTTAAGTGCCTGGCCTTCCATACGACTTCAAGAACATTTCTGACCTTCTTACTTAACAACGAGGTCAGAAAAGAACCTAAAAATATGTTTACAGCGCTGCAGGCAGTACCTCAGTAAAGGTCAGCCTTCACAATTCAACAAACAAGCAAGAGCCTGGGTAGTAATGTGTCCAAACTAGAATACCCAGGCATAAAAAAAAACACAAAAGAGAACAAAAAGACTTGTCAAAAAATTGGACAAAAACATCTTAATGGCCCCAAAGACTTTTGGGAAGACATTCTGTTGTTTATCAAGACAAAAGTGGACGTTTTTGGAAGGTGTTACAGAAAAAGAACATCAAACTTATCTGTTTGGTCTAATTGAAATATTACTTAAACATTAAATTTGTTAGGGCTATTAAGAATTTAGGCATCATGACTTAGAAAATTAAATAACAAATTAAAAAAAAAGTTTATTTTTGGGACTTGTAATGTTTGCCAACACACATTCAAGTGTTGTCTTTATCCCAAAACAGGATTTATGAATGAAAGGATGATGGGAACACCATAACAAACTAACAAATATTTCTTCCTAAGTAGGAGCTTGGAAAATAGATTTCTGCTGAAACATTTTTTCAATAATCTCAGTGGGTTTTTTTATTTAAATTATGCTTTTTTTCTTAATTTAGTATTTCTAAACTCAAGAGTTACTAAAATCTGCCTAGCGAGAAAAAAAAAAAAAACAACTCTTCGAAAATGTAACATTATCTGTCTATTGTAACTGGCAGGTAAGTGTGAGTTTACTGAGAGCTAATTTATCTTTTACATCATCTCTATTTTTCCAAATATCTATATGATATTTTGTCACAGGCAGATTTGAGGAGCTGACAGCATGTGTTCAGGTCTATCAAAAGCACAAAATCATTTTTTTTCCCCCAACTACTCATTCGCTGCTGACGGCTAATTCTCAGCAGGCAGCAGCTGAGTGCAGAAAGCTGCTGTATCCTAAGAGCTTTCTTCTGTCTGCATCAGTTATTTTTGTACTTCATTAAGAAGGCTGTTGCAGTAAGACTGATATATTCTGATTCTAGTCACACATCATCCCCAGTATTCTCCCCCTTTTTTTTAATACCGCTTGTGATATTTTACATTTTACCTTTAAATTATGAACACGTTCTGACATTCTACAGAGGCTGAGCTCTCTAAATGAATATCACGGAATGTCATTCAGATTCCCAGCATGTGAAATTGCCTTTCCAATATAAGGAACAAATCATTTTGATTAGAGTTACATCAAGTGTCAATCTTCGGTTTTCTCCTTTAGCGTCCGTTTCCCTGTTATGTCTGTTTGATATCTTTCTTTCATCCTGACCATCTTCATTTCATTTCTGCTTCATCTTGTTTTTCTCCAGGTGTATTTAACACCTGACTCATTTGATCCACTTTAAGCAGATCAGAGTTTGTTTTGCCTGTTGGTCCAGACCTTTTGTGCATGCCGTGAAAAAGCTCAAGGAAATTCTGATGCAGACCAAACGACCAGACCGAGATTCACGTTTGGAGGTGATCTCTCTCCGCTTTCAAACAAACTCTGGTGCGGTTTCTTTTCTGGTGTGAATACAGACTGGTTTCAATCCAAACCAGTGACATGGCTTTTTGGACTTTACAAGCCACCGTTTCTGGACAAAATGGTAAAAATGAACCCTTTGGTATTGATATATGTGTTGAATTTGCACCCGATCTGCTCCTCTCCCCATCATTTCGGTCCAATGCTGATCAAGGCTGCTGATGGCCTGATGTAGGCATTTCCAAAACTAGAAATATTATATTGCGAAACCCATGTTATATGAGCTGCTCTTAACTTTCAAACTGGTTGTGATAACAGCACAGATGTGCACAATAGAAATGCAACAAGCAGGAATTACAAAGTTTGGTTTTACAGGACATGTGCTCTGTCCTGCCCCCGTCAAATCTGTCCAATGGGAGCAATGATTGGTATGCGATTGGTATAGGTATGCGTCTGTGCGTTAGTGTGCATGGTTGTTTACCCTGTGTTTCTCTCCGAGACCTTGCGATAGACCGGCGACCTATCCACGCTCTCACCCGCCTCTTGTCCAGTGGCTGCTAAACTTCAGGGATGAAGATGTAGCCCATGGATGGATGGATGGATGAATGGATGGATGGATGGATGGATGGATGTTTGCAGGTGCCACTTTGTATTCCTGTTTCAGTCAATGAAAGGAAATATATTGACGTTACAGGTGACATAAATCAGCTGAGCAGCAGTCATAGTAAATGATGAAATGAGGAAATCCTGGCAAATCGAATCAATACTAACTCTCAAGAATAATTTTCCTGCTTTTGCTTTTGGGGTGGGAACCATCACTTGGGTTTATTATGTTTGTGACATGAAAAATAGAAATTATTTACCTCCTGCAGCATCGTGGGTGTGTTATTTATGACGGTTCACTGTTTGGTGTGTGCAGGCTAGTCAGTGGGGTTTTCTGTAAAGACACGTATGGAAACAACCCCCCACTGTGAATGCTGCTGCAGATGTCATGTTACACGTCAGGTTTATGTGTATAGCACATTTCAGCAACAAAGCAGTTCGAAGAGCTTTATGTCATAAAAACATCATACAACCATCAAATATGAAACAAGCAATAAACATTACATTTTGTCAAATATCATCATCAAAATCACATCTGTAGAATCTCCAGGGAAGGACGAGGAGGCATGAATGTTTACAAGATCAGTCTGCTGAGTTGCTCTTTTTAGGCTTTCTTTCAACAAACTTTTACAGGAACCTTTGATCATATCTGCAGTCAACACACAAACTTGCAGAGGAACGTTACTTCAGCAGCTGATGTCTTACTTTTAGGTTACGTTGATATAAGATCGCTGCCTGGAAACCGCTGGTATTTTTGGACGTTAACTGGGAAAAAGTTCCAAGTTTAGACGACGCCACCAAGACAAATTGAGACAGCTGTAGTTGTCATGCCAGGCCACTAGATGGTGTATGCGCTCTTGATCCTTAGAACTCCAACTCTAGCTAGTTTCCGCTAAACAGTAACCCAAACTGAACAGGTTAAGTAGCACGACACGGCACAGTGCTAAACGGCCATTGTTTCAGTTTGTCATCAGCCCAAATAAACCCTTCAGCCGTGCGTTCTGTGCATGTCGGCTTTCACGCCTCCACTGGAATGTTAAAGAAAAGTTTCATTCAAAGAGTGCCTGTGTCGTGTAAACCAGCAGCCTGATCGCAGTAAAAACCTTCCAGTTTAACTGAAGAGCGGCTCTGTGTAGGGGCCTTGAACTCTGCCATGTTGTCTATATTTTTTTAAAAATAACATGCATCTAAAAGTTTTTCTTGAAAGAAACAACATGTTAAAAACATTATTTTTGTTATATTCCTTGTGCCTCTTGACGGATGTTTCTTTCCCTTTCTGCAGGCATAAAAAAATCGAATGCTCTTCACAGAGCATTATGTGGAGGGCCCTAATGGTTAGGGAACACTATCAGCAGCAACAGACATTTTGAGTGGGGCTGTGAATAGCCATCTTACAGTTGGCTGTGCCATAGACTGAGGAATCAAAACCCAGAACCCAATTCACTCAGACACTGTCTGAGATTGATGGGTTGCTGCTTTGGGTGGGTGGGGAGGAGGTCTGTGCATGAACAGAAGCATCTACAGAAAATCAATGGGCTCAATGTTGTGTGTGTGCATGTGTGTGTGGGGGAGGGGGAGAATAAACACACACACACACACACACACACACACACATACTTGATGCTGGAACTTCAGAATGAAAGACAATATGTCTGACAGGTGTAGACAGATAGTGACAAACACAATGGACCCTTCACAGCATCCTGGCAGTGTGAGACAGGCTGTTTGGACAATGGGCCACTGCTCTGCAAAGAAATAGGAAATCAGCCTGACATCTCAGTCGGTGTGACCATGACTGTATAATGTAGCCGCTGGACTCAAAGTTTCCCACATCTGATAATGTACCTCTACTAAAATATACAAGTGACTGAATGACTAAAACACATGAAAACAATAATGACAGTTCTGTTTTGTTTTTAATACAGCGACCTCGGGTAAACTGGTGGGCAGCACATCGAGGTATCGTCAACCTCCTGGTACAATGACGGTCTCTCCAACAAAATCTGGTCTACGTCTACAATAAATGTAATGTGTGATTTAATGACTGTATGGTTGTCAAATTTGTGAGAGCAACCGTAAATAGTATATGAATAAAAAAACCGGTAAGACAGGACAGAATGTAAGGTCGCCATCATTAGGCATCACACTTGTGTTGCGCAACATACCATACAGTAACATGTTGTTATGCTTCACAAATTTCGTAATTTAAGGGGGAATGTTAGGATTTTGCTGCAGAGACAAACTGTGGCTAGTGGAAATACAGAGAAGATATCTCATCAACCAAATATCATAATTTGTTAAATGCATTTTGAATTTTAAACTGCACACACACATTTATACACCGATACACAGATCGGTAGGCAGTTTGGTGTTGAGTGTTTTGCTCAGGGGGAAGCTGAACTCAAACCTACAACCTTCCCATCACAAGACGACTTCTGTTCTCACAGTCGCTACAATGAGGTATAATGTGAATTCTGGGCTCTGAGCTTGAGATGCCACACCCTAACCTTAATTAAAGCAGCGTCCATCATCTTCTTTGCCTCAAGAAACACAACCATTTGAAATTTGTTGTTTTATATGTTCAGACTGTACACTATGATTTGTGCATGACGACTACTAAATACAGAAGAAGTCATATTGTGTACAGCATGTTGGTAATAGAGGGATTAAATGGCAAGAAATATTACCGTTATTACAACTCCTCTTATCAATGCTGGTGATAATGTTGGACTCCTGTTGACAGTTGTTGGTACTCTTGCCTTCTCCATAGTCCTGGCCCAAGATGTTTTTCCATGGAGTTTGCATGTTGTTGACTGCTATTAATCCTTCATTGGTACCGGAAAATCTCCTGGGACTCATTGTTTCATTTACAAAGAGTTACATACATTACAACAACTAACATAAAAACAATAATAAAACAATCTACTCAACGCTTCTAAAAATCGATGCCATACATTACCAGCTGAAGGATTTTCACTCCCAGTTCATGTGTGGCTTCTCTCTCCGACTTCATCCTGCAGTCTCTGATTACATAAAAGGAGTCATCTTCAATATAGCAAAGTTCCTTTTTTATCCCACTGAGATCCACTGAGCATTGTGATAACGCTGTGTTTTATTTGTGTGACTTAATTCTGCCAAGACCAAGGGAATCAGTCTCTAGGACGGGTAACCATTGGGATAAAGAGATGACATGCTTCTCATGTGTACAATACTCTTACTTTTCAGTCGTGTTTTGACGGATTCATAATCTTCGTAGTATAGCAAACAATGCGGCTGCCACTTCGTTAAAGGAGAAATCCACATGCGTCTGCTTTGTGTTTACAGTGATGGCGCTACAGGTTTACGATGAAAAGATGAACCGATTTTACAATTGGGAAGAAATATGGAACGCATTTACTGTTGCGGTTTTAATGTAGCAGCGGCGATAATAAGTGGTAGTTTTTCATCCCCGAGGCAGCATATATCCACCCCCCCCCTGCCTCCCCATCTCTTCCCGCTAATAAAGCCCTGTCAGAGGCAGGGCAGGCAGCCAGTCCTCACGGACCACCATGCAGCTGAATAAACCCCCGGCTTATTGATGTGGTGAGGAAATCGTGTTTTTTTTTTTTTTCTAGTCCTTTTGGGGGAGATGACTGTGGAAGCCGCCACTGGATTAGAGGTGGCGGAGGTTTGTGCGAGTGAAAAATGAAATCCGATTTCCTTCAGTAGTGTTCCGGGGGTCGAGGAATATTTCAAGAACTCTGCATGTAGAGAGTCTAGCATCTCTGTCGGTGAAGATGAAAATGAGCTTTCCTCACTTCACTTCATACCTGTGAGACGTATATTTGACTCTACGGCTTACGATGACTAAAAGGTTCAAAGAATTGATTTGAGCTAAGATGCTATTTGATTTGGATTTTCAAGGCTACACGCTTCACGGCTTGTCTCATCCCCCTCTGCCCTGCGAATGAGTCAGTGTGTTATTATGCCACACTAGGAGAAGAAATAGGAAATTAAAAGAAAAGAAAAAAACGAAGAAAGACAATGGCTCTGAATAGGTTATCATAACTGTGCAAGCTTGAAGCATCAAACCTCTTTACATTACAATTTATCCATCACACCCTGAATGATGGAAAAAAGAAAGAAGAATGAATATTTTCTTTTTGAGATCTACTCTGGTATTCTTTGACTATTAAAACCCTGCGATTGTCTCGGGGGTCCAGATGACGGCCTGCGGAGAGGAAGAGGTGGGTGAGAAGTGACTTGGCTTCATTTCCAGTGAAGGGGTGAAGCCGTAAGCCGGTTGGGAAGATTAGATGATTTACAAAGAAATCCGGTTAAATCCCACCATTTCAGTCTCCATCACCTAACAGGCTACACACCTCATGCTGTGTGTGTATGACTGAACGAGGTCAGGACGAACAGAGGTGGGAATACAGCACAGGGATTCTTCATTGTGAATATTGCCTTTGTTTTGTTTTGTTTTGTTTTCTTCAAATTAATATTTTAGCAGAATTTCAAAATGAAAGAAATTGCCCGGTGTCGTGAATTGTGGTTTGTGGTGGTGAGAACGAAAGCTGAGACTCAGATGATGATGACGATGAATTTAATAAAGAGAGCTCAAACACAGTCCAGAAAACAAAAGCTTAGTCCAAAGAAAACAAAGCTCAAAGAAAAACAACCCAACCGGGGTGGGCGGAGAACCAGAAGACAAGGAGGCGGGGTCCGGCGGTCTCCGAATGAATATTTTTTATACAAGTTGAAGACAGTCATCATACTTTATAAGCTTACTGTGAATTCTCTTGGAATTCTTTTCCGCTGATTTGATGCTGAGGAAAAACGAAAAAACACACAAGCAAAAAAAATACATATATATATATATATATATCAATAATAATCCAGGTTGCCATTAAGTAAAAATGCTCGATCGTTTTCTGAAAAACCATTACATGCATGAGTCGGCTCCGCTATCGGGGAAAATACATGTTTGAAGTGAAAGAGAGGCCTTTCAAACTGTCAGAAACGCTCCTGCAACATGTCGATGTCGAGATACTTCACCGCACATTACCAACAGATCTGCACATGGGTGAATGAAAATGCATGCATTTTTTGAGTGTGACTGGGTAAATTTGACTCTAGTGTAAAGCACTTTGAATGGTCAGAATGACTAAAAAAGTGCTTTTTAAATTTGGTCCATTTACCACAAAATAAGGTTGTCTGACTTTAAGTTGAGGTTCCCCAAAGTTGGACTTTTCATTTGTCTAATGCATCACTAGTTTCTACTGTCAAAGGCATCAGAATGAATTATCATATATGCTCACTTTTATATTAGCTGAAACACTCAAAGCTGAAAATGTAAGTTTGAGAAATGTCCTCTGGTGTTTGATCATTTCTCTTCTCTTCTGGTCCAAAAATAATTACTCCAGGTTTGTTTCATGGCACATCCATGCATTGATTTTGTTCGAAGCATTTGCTCAGTGATGTCTTCTGAGGTTTTGTGGCTCAGTTTGTAGCGTGGTGTGATTTCTCAGATTGTTACTGACTGGGCATAGCGACGGTTATGGGCCTTTTAGTGTTCAAAATCTTCCCAGTGACGGAGTCGGCATATTCATCACCAGTCCTGGTGGAGTTCAGATACCACAGTCGCCTTAATGGGAACAATGGGATGAACAATGGGGAGTTATCCACTTGCTCATTTACTGAGTTACTGAATGAAGGGGGTATCGAAGTACATACTTGATTAATGGTTTCAGCTAAGCTGTCCTTGGGAACGGTGTTTTGTTATAACATCTCTTTGGCTGAGTGAGTAAGTAAATGTTTTTCAAAGACGTCAAGATGAACGGTCTCATAAGGTTCATCCGTTACAGAGACCTTGGAAATATTTGTACCCTCGCCGATGATCAGGTCCAGGGAAGTCCTCGATTGTGCGTCAGCCGTTTGACGTGTTGAATTAAACCAAAATATTTTGAAGTGTTTTGCATAGTTCCTTTTTCCTCTGTCTTGGAGGGTTGTCAACAAGGATGTTGAGGTCAAACCAATGCATATCACAGACAGGAAGTTACTAGAATCATTGAAGGTAGCTATAAAGCTCACTTGAAATTTACCAACGGGGCTACAGCTGTACTCTAGTTCCTTGGCCCAGTGTTCAGGGTCATCTGTTGTTCAGGCCGCTCAGAGCGACAAACTTTATGCTAGTTTAGCATGTTGTTATGCCAGCTAGGTGGCTTGTGGTAGCTGACATGAAGTCCTGGTGGAGCCAATTACCCCTTGGGTAGCATCTTGTTCAAAGGTCAGGGATATTTGTAGAGAGCTTTAGGATACAGGTGGCAACTGTTTTTCTTTTTCTTTTTTTTTTTTAAGTTTGCTGGATTTACTCAGGTTATCTTTGTTTGGTATTAAATACTTGTTTGATGAGCTGAAACATTAAAAAAATGCAAAAGTAAGACAAATCTGTTAGGGGGTGGATACTTTTCAATGTCTCTGCAGATATATTTGGCTATGGTGGAAATAATACAAAGTGTGAGGAAGTTAATTACAATCTTATCATTCAGATAAAGCGTAGAATACAAAATTTAAAAACTGATGAGATAATCCGATTAGAATTTTATCTCCGAAGGAATAGCTCTTTACATTTTTTTCTGAGCGTCCTCCTCTATCAGATTGAGTTCGATAATAAAAATATATTTTTTAACACGTTCTGAGAAGAACTGGTAAAAAAAAAAAAGGTTTCCTTAGAAGGAGAAAAAAAGGTGCAAATAACATTAATTGGTATTCTTTTGGCTTCACAGCTGTTTTCTGTTGTGCATCATAATTAACAAGATGAGACAATGTGGTGTGTGTCGCAGCTCATCAGTGTCACCAGAAAGCCGGCTGGTGACAGTTTGACACGTTTAGAAATAAGCCTGCCTCCATATTAGATTTTCATCAAACGAGTGTGTGTGTGGGGGGGTGGTTTTCCAAACAAAAACATCGACATTACGTTGGGAATATCTTGATTTTATCCTAAGACAAAGAATTTCTGAGATTATACCGGTTTCCATGTTTGTTACAAAATAATTATCTCATCTTTGGGCGTAATCTGTTTTACCTCTTGAAACTTATTTGTTGTCATTGACAACGGAGTTTGCTGTTTTTGAGAGCTGAAGAGAATAAAAACAAGAGACATTTCTGAGCGTCTGTCTTCAGACCAGATGAAAAGACAATACACACATTGCGACCTTTAGACTTATATATTTTCTTCCTCTTACTACCAAAATCTGCTATTCCATTTGCATCACTCACCAAAAGGATCCAGGACACTCGTTTTGCATTCTTCCACTTAAAGCTTTCTCAACACGTCTGCTCTTCTTGGTGGGGGGGAGGGGATAAAAAAGCAAAAAAAGCAAAGAAGTTGCACGAACACACTAAACCTCCGGGGGACTGAAGAGAACATCATTTCTGCAAAATCTCTTCAACAACTTTTAGGACTGCAAAAGTCCGCTGCTTATTATTTAACCTGCAGCAAGTGTAGATATAAAATCCAGAGCATGTTATTAAATCCGCCCCAAAAACCGCTGGTATCAGAACAAGCGAGCGTTTGCTGAATTCTCCTCTGCCTCTGAAAGGTTCTCAGGTATTTTTAAGTATTCCGTCCCGTTCTTCACAGAGGACACATGTCTGTGTGTTCTGCTGCATTATGCCCCGCAGAGCAGAATCTTATATGGCTACAGAAGGCCATTTCCAAGAGCTGTCACCTTCCTCAGCATCGCTGCAGTGTAACTGTCACCAAAACCCTTCCTCCCCCTTTGCTCCACACATTACATCCATGTGGACCTGCAGCATCATTACAGATTTCCATGTTCGTGGAAACTCTGTCAAATTGAGCTTAGGTCTCGTGTTTGGTTGTCTGTGGTGCTGTGGGGTAAAACGCAGCAGAAACAACCAAGGAAGGTTGAAGAAAAATGAGACAAACAGTCATTTTGTTGCGGTTTAAAGAAAAATAAAGGAGAAGACTGAAAGCAAAATGTTGCTGGGCACAACTAATGCAATAAAAATGTAAACATTACATTTTATATTTTTATTTTGACCAAATTGCAAAGACATTCTAAAACTAATTTTAAAGGAAATGACTTTCAGTTTTACAGTAAAACTCCTGTAAATTGTAATGTTTTTAAAACGTCCCCCCCATTCCA